GCCAGCAGACAAAGTCGTTGATAACGTTAGTATTAAAACAAAATATTGTAGCGCAACAATACTTAGAAAATTCGAACGCACTGACGAATTCTGAAAGAAAATTCAAAGTTGTGACGAGTATTGAAAGACACTCACACAAGAAACAACTAAATAAATTAATGATTCTCACTTCTGTAAAGAGACTCTTCACTTTTATCGCATTCATTGCGATGCCCTAACTTTGCTAATGAAAGTGAAGGCGTGGAAAGACAGATGGAGAACTGCCTTCACTGCCACCACCAACTTGCATTTCTTCTCTCCTTGCCTCGCTGGCTGGGCGCGAAGGCTCCTGATTTCCACTTTGAAGATACATAATTAAGAAAAAACGTGTTCCACAAAAATTAAAATGCCGAATTATATTATTTTCCTAGTACTTTCCTGCTAGTACTAGTTTACAATTCTATTCACTGCTGATAATTGCATCGTGAGTTGTACTAGTAAGAATCCCCGAAAGATATTTGTCGGGTTATGTTGTACGGTGTTATATTCGTGGATACGTGATACTTTTTACCAACTTTTCAGAATGTTTCACTATTTATTTTCAGATAATTTAATATTCATTTTCAGGCCAAAAGAAAAGGCTAGCTTTCTTAGACCTGCTTTTGCATTATGACAAAAGTGGCGGGAATTTATCTCTTGAAGATATTCGAGAAGAAGTGGATACTTTTATGTTTGAAGTAAGATAAAATATATGTGATGAAATTATGTTTGTTTTTCATTCATAATAAAAAACCTTATCTATTTTTAGGGTCATGATACCACATCTTCTGGATTATCTTTCACTTTGTGGTCTCTAGCTGAAAATCCAGCTTGCCAGGTAACAACAATTGTTCACGCCGATCCTGTGGCCGAGTTCGCTAAGGCAGTAGTGCCGTAGCGAACTCGGACCGAAGGATCGCGGGTTCGAGTCCCACCTCGGGCATGGTTGTATTGTGTTTCGTCCTTTCACCCCCTATCATCATCATTATCGCGTCAACCCACAGTTACCATACCGTTACAAGCAATAGTGGTCGCTAATGGCCTAGTAGTTGATGCGACCTTAAACAAAAACAAAAAAACAAACAATTGTTCACAAGTTATAGTTATCAACTGCATATTTTAATACTGATATTGTTATATTTCGTGTCATGAAATTAATTTTTGTCTGTTTTGTGAAATTAATTTTGCCTATTCTGTATAACATTTGTCTGTCTCTACGATAAATATTTTATAATATTGGTTTGTTGCGTATTGCTCAGACTACTCGCCTTCCAATGCTGGTGCCTGGGTTCGACCCCAGGCATTTCCATGTGGAATTTGTAGTGGACAAAGCGGGTTTGCAAAATGCTCTGGGGTACCTCCTTTTCCCATGCCAATTTGCATTCCACAGAATCGTTCCATCAATCATCGTTCACCATCATTCCGCCAAGGATTTACGGGTGACTGCAGCGTCTAGGCGTACTGAGGAACTTGTTAAGAATATTCTGAGTGAGCCCCTCGCGAGACCCTCGATGCGGGTGGTAGAAAGTGGATGCAATGCCAGACGGGCGACAGGTAAATCTTGAGCCTGGGGGGGGGGGAGACCGGCCAATGGACCTAGCAGAAAGCTTATTGGTAACAGCAGTTGACGCGCCGCAACGCGAAATAACCAATCAACCATCCGCCACTCACTGCTAGGTCTCCTCCGCACCAGCATTGGGAGCCCAAGGTGCCATGCGGCGCGTCTTGGCATACTGGTTGGGAAGTTCTTTCGGGTTCTTCTACAACATTCTGAGAGATTTCGCGAAAAACGAGTTTTTTTGAAAAAGAGGTTTAAGCAACTGAAATGCGTTTTATGAGGTTTGACGCGTGTACTTAGTTCATATGATGTCTTTCGACTAGTTGGATGTATCAGTACTTCTTTTAAACGAATTCTTCTAAAATCTAGGAAAATGTGTTTCGGAGGTATTAAGACACTTAGAGTGAATTACTTCAATAGGTTTTGAGCATAACATAAACCGATAAGGCTTTATTTATCAGATTGACCATAATTAATACCAATGGTGTAGTAATCTTTTCTTTTACCTTTCTTGTGAGTATTTATATATTTTATTACTTTGTATTGTGTTCACATATATTACAGCGGGGGTGCTTAATATCTAACTTATCTTAAACTTTTCTTATTTTAACTAATTATTTTCTTATCCTAAACAAAAAACAAACAAAAAAACAAAAAAACAAACAAAGGAATATACGTAGTATAGAAAAAGTTATGCAATGCTGCAGAAATTCGATTTGGAGACTTTGGGAAGATCATAGATATCATAGGTCCAATTTTCACTGTTAATTCTGAATTTTCGAAAATTACTAAGTTTTTTCAACGAGTTCCTAAAACTACAAACTAATATTGAAAATAGCAATTTTTACTTCGAATGAAAAATGTCCGCAACAATTAGTTATTTAATAGATGTCATGTTCATTATTTTTTTTGAAAATATTACTAGATTTGTGTTAAAATTGAGTGAAATAATAAATAATAATAATGTTTAAGATTTTTAAAAAAAAGGTTCAATGTTTTGTCTCAAAAAAATTGGTCAGATAATATTAAATCCACTATGTGAGATGACTATTTTGCTGCTATACTTTTTTGTTTTTTTCTATTAAAGAATTTCATATTTTGTTCTTTTCAGAAATTACACATTTTTAATACTACTCTCACATAGGCCATATTTACTTTACCAGCAATTTATATATATATATATATATATATATATATATATATATACACACACTCCACTTGTGTGTGTAAGTTCTTTAAATGATACTTTATAAAGTTTCTGAAAACATTTTCTGAGCATATGATTTTGCATTTTCAAAATTGCTCGAATGACATTTTCTAAACAATGGCTCCAAATTATTTTTTTAAACATTTTGTACAAATAGTGCTGATGCACCGAATAACATCACATTTTTGCTATTGTTATTTATCCTTTGCAAGTTTTCAAAATTATTCAAAGTTTGTATTCTTTTAAAATGTATCTCATGTAGCTAATATATAGACTAAAAGTATTTTTTTGCATTATTGCATTTGTAAGTAGAAGGGTTTCAAATGATTTTCAATGACTTTTCTCGAAAACGCATAACTTCTCTGTAAAAATGAACTCAAATTTTTCATTACCAGAAACAAAAGTCTCTCATAAACAGCTCCAAATTGTTTCCACAAAAAATGTTGTGTTTATCTGTAAATTCTTAAAGTCATATTTCAACGCTATCATTAGAGGACAAAAATATTGGGAAATGTGAAAAAATATATTTTAGGTCGCAATCAAAGATATTGGACAGTATTATATCGCTAGTATTAGTCGCAGTAGGCTGGAAAAAAGTTTGGTGAAAACAGAAAAGCTATCCCAAGCTAAATAGCTAAAAAACGATCTTGTGTGAGGAAGTCTGTGACATTGTGAAGCATCGCTAGTTTACTTAATGCGTAATCTCAATTCTTGCCAACAACGCTAATTTCCTTCTGTCAGAATCTTCTCTCTGTCTTCTTTCAGAATTCAAAATGTTTACGGCTTACGAAACAGATCCCCGAATTAAGAAATCGGCTCAGATTACACTTCTCCTCATAGAATATTATATACATTTTGAAACTGTTTTTGATGTTAAATTAATTGAAATTAAATTAAAACCAGTCTTCCACATACAATGGTGTATTCAGAATATAAAAGCAATTGGTTCTTGCTGAATCACCACAACTGTTTAGTAGAGTACTTTTTGATTTAATTCATGATTAAATTTAATTGAAATGTGTTAAAGACTTGAGATTTTGTTAAAATGTGCTTGTTGACATTTTTTGAATTCAGAATGAATGAATCATGTACGTATTTCTGAATGATAAAATATAAATTGATATATTTTTTAAAATTATATCCATGGTAGATCAGTGTTGTATTATGTCACAAAAATTATATGAAGTATTCAAATATGTATCTGAGAAATACTTCCTTTTAACAGCAAAAGGCATATGAAGAGTTGTATGAAATATTTGGAAATTCAGACAGGGAAGCAACTACTGAAGATTTGACGAAGATGAAGTATTTGGAATGTGTCATCAAAGAGACATTAAGACTTTTTCCCAGCGTTCCTTTTTTCCTTCGAGAATTGGATGAAGATGTTAAAATAGGTACTACAATTTGTTTTGAATATGTTTAATATTGTTATAGTGATAGTACGTCTAAAAACTTTCTTGGCCCTCAAAATTGCTAATGTACAATTTATAACCAAAAAGTTAGATGATTTAAACACGTTGCTTGCAATTAAACATTAGAGAATTATTTTGTATGTTTCAAAAGATTTAAGTGAAACACGTAGGTACAATGTTATATAATTTTAGATAATTCAGTAAGGTTTAAGTAGAATTATAAGGAGAAAGATGGTTGAAAGTGAATACAATTTTAAATTAAAACAGTTATATTTTTCAGAGGGAGTTAATTTTGTAGCAGGAACAACAGTGCTGCTAGCACCATTCATCATGCATAAACATCCACAATATTTCCCTAATCCAGAGAAATTCGATCCTGAACGATTTACACCAGAAAATACAAGAGGAAGACATCCCTATGCATATGTACCTTTCAGTGCTGGTCCCAGAAATTGTATAGGTGGGTTTTCCATGATTTCTTTTTCCATTCTATGATACTCACTTTCAATAATAATAAGTACATGAGAGGTATGAATTGTCGTATTTAGAATATGTTTACTATTGACCACAATGTTTTTTCTAAAACGAGAGGAAAGACATTATTAATTTTTTAATAATATAAATTCAATAAAATAAACAATTTTATTTTAAAATCTTAAGCATGTCTTTTGAATTAAAAAAGCAAACAAAAATTATCCTCTGGAAAATTTTGAATAATATTACATAGCAGAGTTTTCATTATGATTTTATGTAATTTGATATATTGTGTATTAATTTTATATACTTTATTTATTATAATTTTCAGGCCAAAAGTTTGCAATGATGGAAATGAAGACAGCAGTAAGCAAAATATTGAGAAATTATAAATTGTCAAGCGTAGGAAGGGAAAATGTCTATAGTTTTGAGTTGATTTTGAGAACTGTTGGAGGCATACACATTAAATTGGATAATCGAAAATAACTCTTACCAATTCTAATTAAGAAATGAAAGAAATCAATGTGATTTAGCCAGTGAATTTTCTGAAAAATCAATATAACAAGTAAATAAATAAAATAAACATAAAATATTACATTTTTTTTTAAAAAGCAACTTAAAGTAACAAAGTATTAATGGTGTAATACCGACATTAAAGGTAATTGCACCCCTGGCTTAGCGGTCAACATCCAGAACTGAAGGCCATCCTAATTATTCCTATAAAATAGTTACAAATCCACCGCCTTTTATCATTTCAATATCCTATCTGAAATTTGGCGTCATCACTCGGAGCTGAGTGTCCGAGGTGCGAGGGGCGTCGGAATGCAGGCGGCCATGGAAGTCAAGGGCGGCGGGAAGTAAGAACGCCCGCTGGGAGGAGCTTGTTGAGGACCCCCAAAACGCGAGGGGGCACGCGAGGCCTGGGCGGCGAAAAGCAGGCTTGGGCGCGGCGAACGTCGCATAAAGGCTGGGGGCGAAAATTTAAAAAAAAATCCTCTTGCGTTGTTAATACTTACATCAGCGACGATTTGTTAACATTATTGCACTTGAGTGCACGTGCTGTATATGATGACATACAGATTGTATCGAAAACTCAAAAGTTTACCGTGAAAATTTGATCAAATTTTCTCATTTTCAGTAAAGCTCAAAAGCAATTTTGTCAAAACAGCTACAAAGTGTTTCTTCAAACTTTTTGTACGAGTAGTGTAAATGCACTGTTTAAGATGATATATAAGCTATTTTGCTGTATACTTTCGTTTTTTTTGAAAAAAAAACGCAAATATAATTTTTGAAATGTCTTTCACGCCGTCAATATGCACATTTCCAGCGATTTGTATACATTATTGGATTTGTGAGTAAAAAGTCCTTCAAATTACTTTCAATGAAGTTTTCCGAAAACTCAACATTTTTCTGTGAAAATAGCTTCAAATTTCTCATTTACACTAACTCTTAAACGAGATTTTGTAAAGGTACAAGATTTTTCATAGAAAAGTTCCATAAAAGACAACCTTTTTTTAATATTCTTATTTTTTCTGTTCTTCCATTAGGAAACAAAAAAATAGTGAAAATGTCATGAAAATGTACCTTGGGCGGCTGGCAAGATGATGGGGTATGGCTGAAAAGTTAGCCCACACAAAAGTAGTTAGAAAACTAACCACTAACAGAAAACTTAAAATGTTAAGAGAAAGCCTGTGCCTGTTTTCTGTTTAATCTCTTCATTATAAATTAAAAAAGATGGTCATTGTAGAACTAAATTCATTCCCTACAGATTTAATGTTAGAGATCACTAAACAGCATAAAAAATGTTCAAAAACATTGATAGTTTTTTATCGATGTCGTAATTTTGAATATCGATTACTCTAGGGAACAAGATTTGAAAGATATTGTGCGCCACATACTCAATTTTATATGTTGATTACAAATATCACGATAAAAAATTCGACTAATAAACTAGAAGCCTTGAAGAAAATGTTTTTTTTAAGATAACAACAGAAATGTGAACGACCCTGCAAGAGTGGCTAGTCTCTTTAACCAATACGTTTCTAAAATTGCTGCCGATCTCACAAAGGGTTTTCAGCCCCAAAATTCAACATTAGACGTATCCTCAAAATTTTAAACACGATGTTCGTTTCTGAAACTTCATCCAATGAGATTCTCGAAATAATCATAGGCTACAAAATAAATATTCGGCTGGTTTAGATGATTTTCCGGATTTTGTTCGTTAAAGACTTGTGCGCCCGCCATTACATACCCGCTAACTCACATATTTCATGTACCCTTATGCACAGGAATTTATCCAGATATTTTTAGAACAGCTAAGAGGAAGCCGCTTTTCAGAAAAGGTGAAAAATGAAATTCAAAATTATCAGTCAATATCTATTTTGTTTTTTTTGAAAAATATTAGAGACTTTTTTACGTAAGAATGGAAACATTTTTTACGTATGAAATGAAATACGTACGTTGAATCATATGGATTACGTAAGAAGTATTCGAATGAAAACACAACATGGGTTTGAAAATAAATATCTACGGAAACAGCCATACTTTCTTTTCTTAAAGATGTCGCGTCATTCATGGGTCAAAACGAAAAACCTATTGGAGTATTTTTATATCTTTCAAAAGCTTTTGATGTAACATTTTACTCTCAAATTACCTTCGTATGGAATTCGGGGTATTGTTCTAGATTGGCTATGTTCGTACCTTAAACAACGATCTCAGAGAGTAGAAATACCTGGAATAATGGAACATTTTTTATTAAATCAATTACATTGTTTTTACATCGACAGTTCTCTCTTTACTATATGTGAACGATATGTTCTCGAGAATTAGAAACGGAAGAACAGTTCTCTTAGCGGATGATAGTACGAATATTCTTTGCAGAAACGAAATCGTAAATAGTACATAATCAGATATTTCAAATTAGTTCCATAATAATAAATTAATAGTAAATGAAAAGAAAACGGTTTCAATGGAGTTTTCCATTTCAAATAACAGATCTGTACTCCATTGAAAATGATTGGTGCGCCAGTGACTGATGCTAGGGTACAACATTTTTAGGTCTTTCAATGCACTGAAACCTTAAATGGAACGTCAATTAAAATGAATTGAACACTCAATTAAGTTCGTTATACTACGCTTTCAGAATTCTTTCAAATTCAGTCAGCCTCCATACTGCTCGTTGGGTTTACTTTGCGAATGGTCATTCCCGCCTGAGATATGGCATAATATTCTGGGGAAATACACCTTATAGACTCCAGAATTTAGATTACAAAAACGAATTGTACAAAAAACAATCAAAGCCCTCCCACGTGATTCTTGTAAGCCTCTCTTTATTAATTTAGGTATTTTACCATTACTTGCCTCTTAATATATGAATCAGTCGTTTTTGTAAAAAATAACTTACATAAGGACGGGAATATATTTTCAACAAACGCCGTATATAACTACAACACTCGATGTAGTAATCATATTCATCAGGCGACAGTATCAACAGCTCACTACAAAAAATCACATACATGATCATTATTTTACACCTTGCCAATTGACATTAAACAATTAAATTCGATACAAAAGCTTAAGTCCCAAGTAAAATCTTTTCTGCTGCACAACTGTTTCTTTACAATTAGGAACTACAACGAGCATTCAAAAGAAGCTATTCATTTTAACAATGAATTTTAATGTATTATTACCTATTGAACTGTATAATTCTAAAGAACCTGTAACAAATGCTGTAATTCAGCTTCTGGGTCAATGACCGCATCTCCATCAGGTTTTCGTCCAGTTTTCCTTATTCGCGAGCAAATGCTACGATGGCCCCTTGTTTTGCTTCTGGACATAAATGAAACTTCAAATTAACTTCTCCCGTTCGCACGTCACACAGTTTTCAACTGTTTTTTGACGTAAATCAATAAAAATTAATAAAATAACTGAAATCACGTCAAAGTTTTGAAACATACCGTATATTTATATCGTATTTTGCTATTAATATAATACATTTCAATTGCACCTGTAATATATGTAGAATCAATTTGCATAAAGTCGATTTAAAATAAAATATTTGTTCACTTCAACTATGCCACTGACATGAAATATCAATAAAATTTAGCTCTCGTGGTTATTTTTTACCTTCTGTATTCGTAGGTTGCCGTCTTTATTCTCGCGTCTGATAGTCGTGCTCAATTACGACTAGCTGTTAGTGAATGTTTTGAAAACAAGTCACATGCACCCCATATTTCCTACCGTGAATCAGTCATCGAAGGAATTAATTTAATCCCTTAGCTTATTGCAAGTATATAAGTATCCAACTGTTGGAATGGAAGATTCTAAGTCACTCGGTGTCATGCTGAACAGTACCCGCAGTGCGCGTGAAGTTAGTCCGGCATCCATGTTATAAAGTGCAATTCACCACAATCTGGAGATTGGAATGCATTCGATAAAGAGCAAATCATTTCACACAGAAGTAATGCTAATCAAATCGGTAACTTTTGTTACGTTTGTGTAAGACTTTCAGCTCAACTTCGATTATTATTATATATATATAATATTATTATATTATATATATATATAATTATATATAATAATATATATACAATATATATACCTATATATATATATATATATATATATATATATATTATATATCTATATTATATATATATACAATTTGTAGAGGTACAGAATTATTGAGACAAATTAAATTGAGTAAAGCAGACCTAAGAAATTTTTTTAGCTGCAGAAAAACATACGGCGTCACGCCGGCAGCCCGCCCCTTCTTGGGCAACAGCCACGGTCCTCCCTGACCCATTTCGAATGTTATGTCACCCACCCAACAACCGAAGCAAAGGGGGTAAACTGTAAAAGCCCCCGGCGGGAGCCCACATCTGGAATACTTCCGAAACGCCTGTCATCGTGATCGGGGAAACCCGCAAGCAATCAAATTCGTAGCCGGGAGCCCCTTCAGAGACGTGGCCTACTTTCGAAACCCGAGAATGGAAAAATCCTATACTCGCGGAGCCTATTGGCGCAAATTTAGTGTAGCAACGCCATTACCTTTAGGCCAATAGCGACGCGACCGTTGTAGGAGCCAAGAACATATGAGGAGAAAGGTGGGATAAAAGTTAAAGTTCGTGCGTTTAGGAGAAATAAAATGAAAAGTTGAGAAGAGGAGACTTTCTCTGGGGTGGGAGCCGGTCGCGGGAGGGGCGAGTACACCTCTGAAGGCACTTGGTTAAATAGCAAGTTTAGTTGAAAGTCATGGGGTGATAGACCGGAATTTTCCGTGAGAATTTTAAGAGGACGTGCAAAAAGCACTTCAAAAGTAAATTGGTGCGAATCTTTGTACTGCGTATTTTGCTGGCAGGATTTCGGCAATTAACTGAAATTTATATTCGAGAGGAATCGCATACGGCAGAGGAGACATTGTTGTGTGCTCGCACCTGCGATCCAGGCAAGTCGCCAGTTATCTACAAACTTGCCGAAGAAGCCTCCAGACGACCCTCTGGCTGACGTCATTTGGAACTGCCGCAGACGCCGCTGTCACCGTGCTGTTGTGGGGCGTGCGCCCCGAACGAATTCCTGGGCGAAGGTCGCCTACAAGCTCCGCCGGCGCTCTCCCCAAGCCCCCTTCAGAAGCATCTCTGCCACGACCGGGCTCTCAGGGGCATTGTAACTGGGGGCAATAAACCTTTTTGCAGTTAGTGTCCAAAGCGTGGCCGCGCAAGGCACAAGAAGGTCCTAGGGACAACACTGTAAATCTAACTATAAAATAATTTTGTACTCTTTCTCTAGTTGTAAGCTTTCCTTTAATTTTAATCTTAATTTTTTTCTATTTTATTCAATATTTTCTTTCTTTTCATTTTTTTAATGTCTTCCCTGGTACAGCTCTGTCCAGGAATAAACGTTGTTTTTTACCAGTAATCAAATTGTTTATTTCAAATGCCCATGCATGCTTTTAGCTTACAATGCCTTCCATCACTGAACCTTAAGTTCAGGAAATTGTTAGCAATTGGCTAGTTTTTAATAGCGAGTAAAGAATAGGACCGCCCCTGAGCCTAGAACTGGGCAGCTAACACGTGCGTTTCTACAGCCGGGAGGTGTAGCAATATAAAATATATATAATATATATATATATATATATATTATATAATATATATATATATATATACATATACATATAATCGCTGTTGCAGCGTGATGGAGGTGTGCA